AGGTAAAGTGGAAGCCAAGAAAGCGGCTTACATTAAGTTAGTAGAGAGCACCGACGAGGATCATATGAGAGCAAACAGAGAAAGATATTAGGAGGCTAGGAAGGAGGCGAAATTAGCGGTCACAGAGTCTAAGACTGCTGCTTTTGGTCGGCTTTATGAGGAACTTGGGGGCAAAGGTGGGGACAAGAAGTTATTTTGGTTGGCCAAAGTGAGAGAGAAGAAGGCTTGCGACCTGGACAAGGTGAAGTGCATTAAAGACGAGGACAGTCGAGTATTGATGGAAGAGGCCCAGATTAGGCAAAGATGGTAGTCGTACTTTCATAAACTTCTGAATGAAGAGGGGGATGGAAACATTATTTTAGGTCAATTGGAGCACTCCGAGAGTCACCGAGACTTTAGGTATTGTAGGCGCATTGAGGCTGAGGAGGTCGTGGGTGCGATGGGTAAGATGAGTCGGGGCAAAGCGATCGGACCAAATGAGATTTCAGTAGAGTTTTGGAGATATACGAGTAGAGCAGGCTTGAACTGGCTGACTGGGTTGTTTAATGTTATCTTCAGGAGAAAGAGGATGCCTGATGAGTAGTGGTGGAGTACAATGGTTCCGGTGTACAAGAACAAAGGGGATATCCATAATTGTAACTACTATAGGGGTATCAAGTTACTAAGTCATACCATGAAAGTTTGGGAGAGGGTGGTGGAAGGGAGGATAAGAAGGGTGGTGTCTATATCGAAAAACTAGTCGGGGTTCATGCCGGGTCGTTCTACTACGGAAGCTATCCACCTTATCAGGAGGTTGGTGGAAATATACATGGATAGGAAGAGGGATTTGCTTATGGTATTTATTGACCTAGAGAAGGTGTATGACAAGGTCCCTAGGGACGTCCTTTGGAGGTGTCTGGAGGTGAAAGGTGTGTCAGTGGCTTACATTAGGGCGATAAAGGATATGTATGATGGAGCTATGACTCGGGTTAGGATCGTGGGAGGTGACTCAGAGCCTTTTTCGGTTGTTATTGGGTTACACCAAGGATCTGCGCTCAGCCCACTCTTATTTGCTCTGGCTCTGGACGCACTGACATACCATATCCAAGGAGAAGTGTCATGGTGTATATTGTTCGCTGATGATATAGTTCTGATTGATGAGATACCAGACAACATTAATAGGAGATTGGAGGTATGGAGGCAAGCCCTGGAATCTAAAGATTTCAAGTTGAGTAGGACTAAGACGGAATATGTGGAATGTAAGTTCAGCGACGTGATGGGGGAAGTGGATGTGGAAGTCAGGCTTGACTCACAGGTCATCCTCAAGAGAGAAAGTTTTAAGTACTCAGGGTCAATTATCCAGGGAGATGGGGAGATCGATGAGGATATTACGCGTCGTATTAGGGTGGGGTGGATGAAATGGAGGTTAGCGTCTGGAGTCCTGTATGACAAGAATGTGCCACTAAAACTCAAAGGTAACTTCCATAGCGCGGTGGTTAGACCGACCATATTGTATGGAGCTGAGTGTTGGCAAGTCAAGAATTCACATATACAGAAGATGAAAGAAGTAGAAATGAGGATGTTGAGATGGATGTGTGGGCACACTAGGCTGGATAAGATTAGGAATGAAGATATTCGGAAGAGGGTGGGTGTGGCTCCTGTGGACGACAAGATGTGGGAAGCACGACTTAGATGGTTCGGACATGTGAGGAGGAGAAGCCTAGATGCACCGGTTAGGAGGTGTGAGCGGTTGTCTTTGGCAGGTACGAGAAGAGGCAGAGGGTGGTCTAAGAAGTATTGGGGCGAGGTGATTAGGTAGGATAAGGCGCGACTTCAGATTTTCGAGGACATGGCTCTTGATAGGAACTTGTGGAGGTTGAGCATTAGGGTGGTAGGCTAGGGGGTAGTCAAGAGTTCTTCCCTCTTTGTTCCAGGTAATCTAATAGAGTTTTGTTTAGGTTTATTAGTAGTCTATGTTGTGTTCACATTGTTATTTTGTATAGTTTGGTGTTATTGTCCTTTCACTTATTCATTGTGTTATTTTCTTTATGGCATCTTTTGTTGTTACATGCCTTTTCTTTTATTTCTTTTCTGATATTATTGTCTTTATTGATTGAGCTGTGAGTCTCCCGGAAACAGCCTCTCTACACTTTTCGGGGTAGGGGCAAGGTTTGCATACCATCTACTCTCCCCAGACCCCACTACTAGGATTTCACTAGGTATGTTGTTGTTGAATAGTTCTAAGATGACACTTGAGCATCAAGAGTTGACTTTATTCATCAAGGAAGCTCACTCTTTCATGTAGGTCATTGTGGATCCCAAACTCCTCCTCCTCTACCCTCTGTTAGCATATCTCACTTAAGAATGTAGCACTTAATTCAAAGGATTTGTGAAACGTTCGCTAATCTCTCTCAAAAGAATGTCACAAGTATGGCTCTAAGTATCATATGATTGCCCCTCATGTAAATCATCACTAATGTAAGTTCACTCGGCTTGAAATCACGTAGGGCTTTTTCAGAATGTAATGAAGGATTTTGGATTAAGGTAAGAAATGTTGGAATAGAACGGGTTCATCTTTTCTTAAGCACTCCATTTTCTCTTTTTGGCTCATGTTTTGTCGACTCTTTGAGGCATTTTCTTTTTCTTAGGGGGACTAGAGAGACTTAACATCATTCTTTCTTGGTCGTGATATTCATTTTCTCCTTCTTTTGTTTCTCCATGATTTGCATTTTCTTTGAATCCCTTCAACTTTCAACTTATTCACTTTCTTTTTGCATTTTTCTTTTGTTCTTTCTTTCTTTTTCTTCATTTTTTCATTTCCTTTCTCTTTTGTGCCTTGATACCTCTTTCAAACTCCTTGTCTCTCCCCCAAACTTAGGTTTTAGCCAATTGTTTCTCTAGAGTGTTAAGGAAAGCTCGGGTGCCAAGAGAAGGTCTCTACAAAATTGGTAAAGGCTTGTAACGTGATTATCAAATGTGAAAGGTCTTAGGCTCAAATGAGTTGACTAGGGATAGCAATATTGGTGGACATGAAAAATTTCAAGCAGGTCAAGGAGAGCGTACAATCACTTCTCAAGCCAAACAAAACTTAGAATTTCACCTAGAAATACATTCGGGGCAAGTTCTAGACCATTCACACGGGTATTTGGACTTGCAATAAAATATCCCACCTCTCACATAGCTGGATTGTTAAAGAGGATAGAGTCGAGTGCCACACCAACCGTATTCAAGATTGAAAATCAGTAATGGTTCAACTAAACCACTCGATGATTGCTTAAGTCAACACAAGAGTCAAAAGATCACTAACTAGAGCTATTTCTTTCCAAGAACTTGTTTTTAATCATAATCCCGTAGTTAAGTGTGCTGGTACCAAGTGAAGCATGCTTGACTCTTCTAGTTTTACTCAATTAGGCCCTCTTATTCATTATTACTAATATTCTTACCTAAACATAAAAAAACAAACTTAATCCCTTAAGAAGGTTGTCACGCCATCCATCGTTGGGAAGAGTCACCCGGTTCACACAAAAACCACCTTTGGAAAGAACCATGTCATTAAGAAAATCAAAGTCTTATTAATCACTTAAACATGAAAAGAAACTACTAAATTAAAAAGAAGTTATTAAAGTAAATAAGAAGCTATTGGACTAAACATTGACTACTAAGATAGTAAAATAAAGAAGCTATAAAGTAAACTACTAAAAGCATAAATAAATATACAAGATGAGAAAGGAAGAAAGAAAATATATACATCAATAGAGAGAGAAGAAAATGTGCAAAATGAAAATAAAAAGAGAATGTTATCCGTTATTACAGGCCAAATGTCAAATATCATCAAATCAAATAAATTCCATCCCCCGAATAAAAATAAGCATTGTCCCCAATGCTTAACAAAATAAAAACAAGGAAGGGAAAGGGTAGAGAGGACTCCCTAAGGTCTTGGACACCTCTGTGTCCATAGCAACGTCATTGCCCTTAGGCTCCTCCAACTGGATCTCATCATCCTCTGCTCGGGGAGTAGCGGGGTTGGCGAAAATCTGCCGTACCGCCTCAGCAGTGTGGGCAGTGAGGTCTGGTTCCTCAGACTGGCCAACTGGTGCCACTGATACTGAAGGTGCTGTTGGAGCCGTCTCCACCAGCAAATCAACTGGAAGGTCCCTAGCTGTTGCTATCTTTGTGATCTCTTTCCTCAATTTGTCCACTGACTTTTTGGACGCCTGGGATTTTCTCATCTTGTGTACCTGCTTTCCAAGATCCTCAATTGCTCCCCCATGTGCCACCACTGTTGGAGAAATCTGGGGTGCTGTAGTAGAAGTATGTGCTGCAACAGCACTGGATATGTCAGACAGCTTTGCAGTAGCTGTTTGCATCCAGTTGTTGAGACTCATCAGTGTCTAGGAGATTTGTAGCGCAGAGAGTGGATATGTAGAAGATGAAGGAATTGATACTGATGCTTGGAAGCTGTAGTGGTGGAAGGCCTAGCTGCTGTGGAAGGAACAACTGCTGAATCTGTAACAACCATCGACGACTCATCAGACTGGCCTGCGGTAGTAGTTAACTTACCCTTGTTCTTCGGGTTCCTCGGGTCCTTTAAAGAGTACTATCATGTGAAGGGCTGTTTCGCCCGAACCTTTGTATCAAAACCCTTTGACTCCACTCTTGCATCCGTAAGATACTCAGTGATAGTGTTTGGATACGGGTAGGAGATCTCACCCTGCCTACCTGCCAAAGACATATTGGCCGACATGATGGCACCCACATTGATTGGGTACCCCGCCATGATGGAGGCAACTAGGACTGCCCGTGGGACTAGGACATTGTTTTTATTTCGGCTTAGATCTATTCGGCTGTACACAAATGTTTGCCAACCCTTAGCTTCAAAGTTGAGGGTGTTCCACAGAATGGGGACCCGTGTTGTGATCCATGGTGGTAGAGGTCCTGGGGCTGCCAAGATCTCCGCTAGCCAAGGGCGAGCTACATCTCCCATTTGAAACTTCTCCAAGTATTATACCAGCTCCACATCCTCGAGCCCCAGATAGGTGTTCAGTGAGGTCTGATCAAATCGAACTTTTAGGTTCCTCACTTTAGTCATCTTAGTACCCTTCTTAATATGCGCCACATTGGCATAGAAATCCCAAACTAAGTTCTCCTTGGCGTCTACCACAACTTGAGTGAAGCATGTCCACCCTTTTCTCTCCTAAAATTGTCTTGCCACATTCGGGTTGTATCTATCCAAATCTTTCAAAAGAAACTGGCGCTCAAGTGTGAGCGATCTCTGAGGTCACCACTCTTTGAACTTGTTAAAAGCAGTCAGGCTCACGAATCTGTCTTCCCAAACCTCCTTCTTCTTCGAGCTTTCAAGGCCGACAATTCTGGTATCACCCCCTCGACCATCGTTTGGAATATCATCATCAGCAGCAGTATTGGCTAGTGCATCGGGGGCATGTGTAGAAGAGGGCTCTGAACCCTAGCTATCACCTTCTGAACCCTCGAAAGTGCTCTCTGAGGAGGAGGGCTCATCTCGGAGCTGATATCTCCTTTGAAGTTGTTGTGGCGGTGATTGAGCCTCAGGCAGCTCTTCCACAAAGATGCCCTCTGAGGCTTCCCTAGACGGGACATAAGAACTAGACTCAGCAGGTATTGGAGCTCTCCCAGTTGTTTTCTTTTCTCCTATAATTCTTTGCACGGAGAGTGGTAGGGTACCCCTGCCTCGGCCTCGGGAGGGTTCTCCCTTCCCCTTTGAAGTATCACCTCGTCATCGAGATCTAACCATTGTCTGCAATACATAGCAATATGGATTAGTTATAGTTCAAACTCATAGTATCAAATAGGTGTAGAGTACAGAAGTGCGGTGCACATATTTTTTAGTGCGGCCGCAGATGGGAATGTGCGGACCACACAATTTTTGAAGTGCGGCCGCACGAGTATTTCTGCGGTCTGCACAATTTCTAGTGTGGCCGCACAATTGAAGTGCGGATTGCACAATTTTGAGTGCGGACGCACAATTTCAGCTTCAAAAATGCAACTCTCTGATAACTAAGAATTGGTCGATATGCGGCAACACACACTTTTCTGCGGCCACGGTTCAATTTTTGTGGACCGCACAATTTTGAGCGTGGTCTGCACAATCAATGCACAACAATGGACTAGCCTAATGATCTGCGGACCACATAATTTCTTGTGCGTCCGCACAATTTAAAAACACATGGAACTTAACTTAGGGCTTTTTCATTCAAGCACAAATTTGATATGGTATTGGCAATTTAGTCATGATACACAGTTTACCCATCCCCAAATTAGCAAATAGGAAGTTACCCACATAATTCTAAGCACACATGATGATGAATTTGACATTAGGCCTCAAAATAACCAAACTAACTATGAACAAAAATTAAGAAAATTGAAAAATCTAAAGATGGATTGAACGTACCAGTAATATAGTGATGCAAGGAAGAATCAAAGAGGATGAAATGAGTGTGAGATGTTTTAAACACTTGAGTGGACTGTGCTAGCCTTAGTGTCAAATGTTCAGAGAGTGTAATGTTTTAACAGTGGTGAGGAGGAACTATTTATAGGTGGCCGGTTAGGTCAAGGATTCACGAGCTGAGTGCGGCCGCAAAATTTTGTGTGTGGCCCGCACTCCTTACCTATTACCACTTTTACCCATTGTTGATCTGCGGTCTACACATTAGTGGGTGCGGCAGCAGAATTTGGTGCTAACCGCACATTTCCTTGTGTGGCCGCATTTTGGCCATTTCTCTGGCAGGCAAACTTCAGAGAGTTTGCAATTTTGG